GAGGGCAGTGTCACTGGCCCTCATATGTGGGATCCGAACCGGGGCCCTCTGGCGTCCCAAGCCAGCTCTTAACCATTGCCGGCCCGCTTCACTCCTTTTTGTTGCTGAGTGACATCCACTGTTTTGGATAGACCACATTTTATTTATCCATTCATCAGTTTATGACATTTGGGTTGTTTCTACTTTTTGGCTTTTATGAATAATGCTGCTGTGAACATATGTGCACAAATTTTTGTGTGAACAATTATTTTTACTTCCCTGGGATTTATACCTATGAGTGGAATCACTGAGTCACATGGTAACTCTCTTCAACTTTTTGAGGAACTGCCAGACTGTTTATCAAGCATCTGTACCATTTTACGTCCCACCAGTAGTACAGGAAGGTTCGATTTCTCCACATCTCGTTCTCTGTGTATCTTAGTTAAAATGGTCAAGAGCATAGATTTGACTGAAGCTCCTCTCAGCACCAGGTGGAGTAGTCCACTGGCTAGCTCATGGCTTGTCTGCTTGGAGTCAGTGTCTCACCCCTGGTCCCGTCGGCTGGGGTCACAGTGATGAAGCAGAGTGACATGGCTCAACACGTGGCTCGGAACTGCCCATCCTTCAGCAGAGCTGCTGGGAAGGAGACGAGGTCTGAGCAACATGGCTCCCTGAAGGCAGAGAACTCGAGGCTGATACCAGCTTCCTCCAGGGTCATATGCACGAAGAAGGCAGTAGGCCAGAGAAAGAAAATGGTATTCCTTTTTTTGGGACGAGAAGACAAATTGGGAGGCCTCGCAGCCTGTTCGATCTGCTTCCACCACACACAGTTAGGTCTCTAATTTTTTCAGTTGGTTGCTGGAGCACCCGAATGCCCATATGAACAACAAACCCCATGTCTCCGTCCCAACGTCTCTCCCTTCTTCCCTGAATTGTCTAGGAACCTCAGGGGTGCACTCAGTTCAGTGGGAGTCAATCCTGCTGCAGGTGTCGGCAGAGAGAGAACAGGAGGCGTGATTCGTTCACCAGCCAGTGTTTCAAGGCACCCTCAGTGTTGCTGTTGAAAGGCCTTCTGTTTTGGATAGATGCTCTTTTTGTAGAGACCTTGCCTGACTCCCTAAGGCCACCGCCTGGGACAGCATGCCAGGTTCCCGGTTCAAAGCTCTCTTGGACCACACTGATTCATCCAGCAGCTCGACCCAGAGCTTTCTCCTCGGCCATACCCTGTGCAGAAACCAGCATGTAGTCCCCATGAAGACTCAGCCCAGGCCTGAGGCCCAGGAATAATAGACGTGGACCTTTCCAGTCCATTGGATTGCAAACTCACACCCTTATTAGTATAAACAGCTACACAGTTTACTTAGCATAAAGAACATGGCTGCTGAGAGGGCTAATAAAAGGACGTGCAAAATATGTTCTGCTAACAGAGGAGCCTGCAAATCCACAGCGTTTGTCAAGTGACAAAACCAGGAGGGGCCCTGAGATGCCCTCCACTGGGCTGCACGTTGACTTTTGACATTCCATTCCAGGAGTGATGCAGAGGAGGTGTTTAGCATCATAACAAGACTCTTCTGAATACTTTCATCTGAACGAGAGTCTTAGCCAACTTGAACAGAACACAGCTGAATACAATCAACTAATTTTACCTGTGGACATCCACCCTTGGGCCTCTAGGTATGTCCTCCCCCTGTGAACCCTCACTAAGCTCCTTGCCACTTCCCAACCACCTCCCCGCACTCACGTCCCCCCCAACCCCTGGCCTCCGGTTAAGATTTCTCTCAATGAGTTTTTCCTCAGGGCCTTTGGCATTTGTTTCTGTCAAAATATCCTGAGAATCTCTTCCAACAGGCTTTCCTGTCTTTGAATCGTAGAAAGAGGTGGCTAGGGTCTGGAGATTTTGCCCCCAAGAGGCCCCTGACTGTTAGACTAAGTTTATACCCTTCAACTGTGGCAACCAGATTCGCTCATCAAAAGGTATTGAGGAGGGGCAGGCCTCATCAACCATTCACAAAAAGCTTTACGCCACTTCGCACTGAGGGCAACGAGTGCTTACTTGTCCCACATTTTCAAAACTAAAAGAATCCACTCAAAGACTCTTGCTTGAATAATGAAAATTCTAGAAGCAGCTGGAATGATTTAGAAATTTCTCCCAATAGGTGACCAATTATATTAAAATATTTTTGAGATAATTTTGATGAATCATTGGCTCACACAGTTCTTTCAAACAAAAAGATGATCTCAAGTACATTTTTAAACCATCAGGAATAAAAAATCATAATATGGTAACTCTTCCATTTTGTTCATTATATTTCACCCTAATGATCAAGATATCAGAGAATATATAGTTTAAAAATAAAATAACATTCCATAATCATTTCATGAACAGTTTTAAGGATAAAGTTTCTTAGACT